GGCGCTAACGTGGCATTATGATTGATCGCTCTAGAGCTACGATCAATCGTTACTTGAACGAATGGTGACAAGACATCCTTATCCGATTACTAATGTGGCTATGAATGATGACGTGGCTAGCGAACGATTGCTGAGATCTATGATTGATCGCTCTGCTCCAAGGCAATTTTCCTGAACTTGTTCCGGATTTTCTGCTTGACTCCAAAAAGGCTTTAGTAGACTGTTTTTAGCTCGTTTGAACCTTATTGACCTAAAATCAACAAAAACACAAATTATGACTAAAACGGGAAAGTAAAAATAGATAAAAGGACCAAAATACCCTAGCTTAAGGCTAAAATGTGCAATATTTCAGCACCTATCAACTTAGCATACATCATAGCAACAAGACCACATAAACATGCTTTGTCACATAGTAAGATGCAATAACACACGTGTCACATAAGAGATGTTTTTAAACACATAAGCACGTAAACATGTTAACAAGAAGCATGAAATGAACCCAAAACCTGTCCTCCTAAGGTATTCGAACCCAAATGCTCTAATACCACTTGTAATGGCCTGAATTTACAAAAACCGATGCGTCAACGAGTAACCTAAAAACTGACCCGATAACAGATCCCAAACGTGGAAGCAATAAAAAGAGAAGAGTCTCTAGAGATGGACACCACCTCTAAGATGACAAAGTGACCTTCCAAGAAGTCACGAGACTCAAATTGGAAGACGAATGGGGAAGCTAAGGTCAAAGGGTAAAATGGTCAATATGGACAAAATATGGAACTAGGGCTAAAATTGTCATTTTACCCAATGGTGGAGAAATTTGACTCAAATCAAGTCAAATGAAGTGTACTCAATCCAATATAATCAATTCATAATATCCCAAGAGGTTTTAAGACCTTTAGTATTGATTTCCCAAAAATACCCCTTCTCGGTCAAGTGATTTTTCGATATTGTCCCATTAAAACAAGAATATCTCCTAGTAGGAATAGAATCTGAAAATGGGATTGATATCATTGGAATGTTAACTCAAAATCCTTGAATTTGGACTCAAGAATGAGCTAATTTGGATCTGGGATGAGGGAGACATGACTATTGTAAGATCGGGTAAAAAAATTGTCCAATGCATGAACAATAACTTTAGATTCTACCCAAGGACTAAAAGTAGGCTGTCAGAAAGGTTTCCCAAGGTCTAAATTGAATATGCGGCATTCAAATACACCCAAAAGACCCCCGGATGTCCCAGAGTGATCGATCTAGTTGTCGAAAAAAAATCGATGAATAGTAACTGTGACAAAAAAAAAAAAAAAAACCTCAACATTGTGTGCATTGTTTCCCCTTGCCCAAGACTAATCCCTAAGGCCTCTAAGGTCAATCCCAAATGAAATGAAACATAAAATTTGATAAATACATGCATGGGTACATTGAAGTAGCAAAAGTGAACATTAAAATAAAATGGCCCTTACCCTCATTACATACATGTTGGGTGAGGATAAGATATCATTTTATTTGAAAGGATGATATCTTAAGTCTATTAAGGTACTTATTACACATCCAAAATAGAAAGCAAGGTGTGCTTCTAATTACATTACATATTATCAACTTTCTAAAGACAACTAAATCATGCCAACACTTGCATGCCAAAAATATACAAAAGATGCTTAAAATGTAAATACAAGTCGAGCTATGGATGGTTCGCATACAAGAAGAGTGTCTCCTTACCTGAAAAATAATAATCAACTAGAGTGAGTAATCGAATTACTCAGTAAGATGATGCGTATGCGTATAACCTAAAGTTTCAAAGGTCTTAAAAGTGTAATATAAACAATACATGTGGATCATGCTCCCTAACGACTAGTTTCAAGGGGAAGCTAAGGGATCATCCTAAAGCTATCTTTGAAACATTTTGAAAGCAATCAACAACAAGCAACGCAAGTAAACATTAATAAAACCACCAATGCCAACAACAAGTTACAACTACTTAGAATTGTCAACTTGAAATAAAATGTGAAATCGAACAATAGTAATATACTTGCAAGAACAACTACCACAAAGCTAATAGGATAGCAAGGTTTACACCACTCCAAGGACTATAACTCAACACATACATAGACTCTGCTATGATGTAACTCACAGTTGTGACTCCATGATACAATGTGATGATATGCCAGAAATCACATCCGATTAAAATGATTGGTGCACTTCCGCACCCCACTGGCTAAGTGTGATTAAGGATTTTTAGTCCTTGGACTCGATGTTCACTTCTCAAGTTCGAATAGCTTCTATCCTTCAATCTTGTCGTGCATATCATACACACATAACTTATAACATCATGAACCTCATGAACTAAATAATGACCACTATGCTCCTAAGGCAAAAGTGGCGCACACACACCATGATTTACTCACATGGAAAAATACATCAATAAGTTCACAATACTAAAACAATGTTGACGACTCAATAGTAATTCAATCATGTCCTTAATTTGTACACGCTTATACTAATATTATGTCATTGACATAAAGGATTTAATTATGCTAGTATTGTAAACCTTAGACATGCAATTTCATAATTCATATTCTAAGTCTTCAAAACTACAATGGCCTTTGCAATGATAAGTTCACAATGTGAATGAAACTATGCTACTGCAAAATTGTCAACATAGTAAATCCATTCATGCTAATATATAGTGAGTTTCAAATCCTTAATCACACAACAACATAGTATCAATTTCATAACTAATTCATTGGCAAGAATCATGTAAATAGTCTATAGTTACACTATAAAAAATCACTAGATTTTAATTCTCCACCAAATGAAATAACACCTACACAAGAAGTAAATCACATACAAGCCTTGAATAATATGAAACCCTAGGTTAGTTACATACAATATTCATCTATATGCAACCCTAGGATTTAAATAACATGCATACAATGTATATTAACCTCAAATAACAAATTAAAACACTAAGGGTATAAACATAAAACACCCCCTACCTCACTAGAGAATTATATCTCTAGAAACCAAGGAAAGTGGAAACAAAAATGGAAACCAAAACAAGGTGTGGTGGACAATGGAGTGAGGAAGCTTTTGTCTTCCAAGAGCAAGACCAAAAGGTTAAAGGAAGGTGCTTGAAATCAAGGTATGAAGGCTAAGTTTTTCAAGCTTCAATGGGGCTAAGTGAGAGCAAGGTGGAAGATGATGAACTTTACTAGAAAATCCATTAACTAAATGAATGGTTAGTCAGAAATATTATACTGACACTACCTCTCTCACACACACATACATCACATCCCTCCATTTTTCGTGATCTTAGGCCTCCTCACAAGGCTTAATCTACACCTTACACTTGTCGTCATCTCATGCTTCCAAGTGTTCCAACCAAAAGTCAACAAATGGTCCAAGGAAAAAATGACACTTGTCACACTTTTCAAAAATTACAAAATGGTCCCTCTTCTAAATATCTCACAAAAATAATTGCAAAAAGGTCCATAAGACAACATATCTCAAAAAGCTAATTACACAAAGTACCCAAAAAAATGAAAATATTTTCGAAGAAACTATGCATTCATACCCCCAAGAATTTAAATTAAACAAGCATGCTTTTCTACACAATTAAACTATGCATCGACAATGAAATAAAATAATGTGAATGCATGTGGTGTCGAAAACCAAGTCCGGACACCAAAACCTACCTCGAGTCCTACGAAACCCTAAGGTAACACAAAAAAGAATTAAAAAAATATTTAAAAAAATAAATAATTAAACAAAAAAAAAATTGAATAACAGAAAAGGGAAAAAAATGACACGGTCATCACACCCTCACAAGAAAGCCCTATCTGCAAAGATTCATGTGCTTGCGAGTGGTAACATCTAAAGTTTTACAACATACAACAAGATATTTAGTGATTGGAATAGAATTAATTAGGATTTCCTAAATATATACCTAATTTATTGAATACAAAATAAAGTATAAAAACAAAATTGTAATTTATTACTATAAACATGACGGTGCGGGTGACCTTTCCCCATCCCACTCCATAATTAACTACGCGGGTTTTCAATCATAACCCTCATCCCCGTCCCCAAAACCATTTAACCACCGCCATAACCATTCTAAACGGGCGGGATGGGGTATTTTGTCATCCCTACATGTGACATTCTTTTTCCGTTGTCAAGGCTTTGTTCCACTATATTATTATTATTATGATTATTATTATTATTTTGGTAAAGATTTAACTTAAGTCATATAAAGCGAGAACGAATTTGAGAGCGGGAGCGTGAGAGTTGCAGAATTAAGTCATAAGTTGTGAAAATTTGAGCGTAAGTGCGCGCAAACCATGAGAACGGAAACACGTTCGGAGCGTAAGAGCAATACCTGTTGAGAAGGATTGTGTGACTTAGGGTTTAACTTGAGACTTTAACTCATTCGATACCATTCTAAAGTACAGGTAGCTATTGAATACGTCGGGTGTTGGTATGTTTAACCAATGACAATGTATCATTTAAAAAAAGGTTTGTCTACTTATTTGTAAAATTACTCGAAACGAGATAATATGTTATATTTAATTGGTTGACTATAATTAGTACATGGCGTGTATGATACATCTAATATTTACTCTTAAAATACATATGTTACTCTAATTTTATTACGGTGGTCATGCAAGAGTAAATGAGAAAATGTTGTAAATTCTACAATTTTGTTATACGTACATGCATTATTACAGTGATAGACAACCATCAAAACCTCCCACCTCTTGGATTTGCTCATTTTAAAGATTGTGTGCGACTTTTTTCTTTCGTTATTGCAAGCCAACAAAAGAACTGTTGATAACATAAATGGAAAAAGTTTGAAGGACCAATTTTCTCTGCATTATGTTATTTTGAATCTCTGTATTCTTTTGCATTTGATAACACATCAAACATTATTTTCTTTTGCTAATTCAACCCCCATTGAGTCAATTGACTGTAGCTTGTCCTGAGCTCAAATATATATAAGTATTAAATATATAGTAGTATTTTTTTCTTTTTTTTGACTGGCGTGGGGTTGCTTGAGCTCATTCATGAGCTGGATCCACACTCAACGGAGAGACCCACTCTCGAATAAGAAAGAATATAGCAAAAATAAGTTAAACCCGCAACAAAGTGCAGAAAGTGAACTTCTTCTAGCACCGAACCATGTCTTCAATCTCATATACTACAAAATTAGAGCATATAAATTGCCCTTTCTCTATCTCTCTCTAAATTCCTCCTCAATATTTGGGTATCTCTGTTGTATGTTCGTTGGATTTCTTGATTTGGGTATCTTCCTCTGCTTGTAAAACTCAGGATATAGTTCAGATTATTTTATTCTGGGAGTGGATATATACTTATATATATATATATATATATATATATATGTATATATTATATGTATAGATACACATATATGTTGTTGTTAGGCTGAAATTCGAAAAGATGAATCTGGGTGGTCACGCAGCGAAATCGATCTCCATGGGTTGTTCAAGTATGACTTTGAAATCCGGAGATGGGGCTTCCGACCAGTTTCCGGCGGGTCTTCGGGTACTTGTTGTTGACGATGACCCGACTTGTCTCAAGATCTTAGAGAAGATGCTTCGGTACTGCCTCTACGAAGGTATATATATACATGCATACATACACATATGTATAACCTTGAATATTGAAACTTTCTTGAATGGTTGGCTATTTGAGTTATCTATAGTTGTTTTTTTTGTTTTGATTTATGTTATTAAGAAAAATATGTGTATATGTTCTGCTTTCTCTTTAATTTTGCTGATTATGATATATGATAATCTGGGTGTACATTTTTTTGGGTCTCCTCTGTTTAATACTTGAGATTTTGTTTATAGGATTAGGAACCTGTGGTAGATAAAAGAAATTGGGGAAACCCACTGAGATTTGGGTAAAATATTACATCATTTTTGTTTTCTAAGCTTTGATTTTGTTCAGATTTAGAAATGGATTATGTTAAATTGTGCAATATGGTGTCAAAAGTATCTTCTGTAACAAATTCTAATGCCTCTAAAGTTGTTCAACTTCATTTAGGTGTCAATTTAATTTTTTCAATTCTTTTATATTAGAGAAGTTCTATTTTCAACTTTCAGTCTTTCATGGATAGAAAGCCCATTTTCCAATTGCTGCGGTTAATACATTTAATCTAGAGAGGTGAGGTGTTAATTTGTTTAATCTAGAGAGAGTTGAGGGGCCTGTAATCTTGTGATTTATTGGATAATTGATTCAATGTTTCTGGTGTTTTTAGTAACCAAATGTAATCGGGCAGAGATTGCGTTATCTTTCTTACGAGAGAACAGAAATGGGTTTGATATTGTTATAAGTGACGTCCACATGCCTGACATGAATGGGTTCAAACTCCTTGAGCACATTGGGCTGGAAATGGACCTGCCTGTTATCAGTAAGTGCCTTGTTTCAATCATTTCAGATGATGTTAAACTTCATTTATAGCATATATATTTTGTATCTATTTAGATTTTGATCTGATTTTTGTGATTGTACAATTTACAGTGATGTCTGCGGATGATAGTAAAGATGTTGTCATGAAGGGTGTTACTCATGGTGCATGTGATTATCTGATCAAACCAGTTCGAATGGAGGCGCTGAAGAACATATGGCAGCATGTGGTACGGAAGAAGAAGCATGAGTGGAAAGATTTTGAGCAGTCAGGAAGCATGGAAGATGGAGAACGGCAACCAAAGCCATCTGAAGATGTAGATTACTCGTCGTCAGTAAATGAAGGGAATTGGAGTAACTCGAAGAGGAGGAAGGATGAGGACGATGAAGTAGATGAGAGGGATGATACATCCGCATTAAAGAAACAGCGGGTGGTTTGGTCTGTAGAACTCCATCAAGAGTTTGTGGCAGCTGTAAATCAACTTGGCATTGACAGTATGGATCTTTACCCATTTCTCTCTATTTTCCTTTGACGAATCATTGTGTATTTCATTCTATTTTCTTTTTGTTTTCTGCTTGTTACTCATACATAGCCATCCCATACTGTTTTCTAAATACAATTTTTGGAGTGCTATGTCTATTTGACTGTTGTACTAGTGATGATCCTGAAGATTGTGGGTACTCATTTTCAAAGTTTTTTTAAGACCCACAGAATGGTATTTTACGTGACCTTTGTTGGACTTGACTCTAGGGATGTGTATTACATGTTTGTACTTGACATTTGGATATTGATTTGGGTTGTGAACTACATGCTTCTTCGGACATGCACCTAGCAAGCATCTTCAGTAATTCAATATAAAACTCTCATTATGCTCTTTTTGTCGCATTATTGTTTCAAAAGGAGTGACGCGTCCATGCTGAACAATCAAAGTTTACATCAAATTAAAAACATCATTTCTTCTTAAAAGGTGAAAGAATAATATCAACATATATAAATTTTTGGCACCATCGCCATGTCTCTGCGTTTTTGGATTTCCATAAGCATTTTGCTTAGACACTTACCACGCTCAACACGTGTATCAAAATTCATGTAGCCTAATAGTATTGCTTTCCATCAATATGTCTATTCTTCTTTTTTGAGAAGGGAACAAATTTATTTAAAAAGGAAATAGGCTGCAACAGAGGAAGAGGTGTTGTCCAAAGTATTAAACAGGTCCTAGGAAACTCCTCTAGATCTAAAGTAACTTGTTCAGTTAGAGAATTGGCTTCACAATGTTTAGACCTTGATGTCAACCTAAAAATACACTCCATTGATTCAAAAATGTCAAAAGATCATATTAATCCATCCCTATTAATATCGCTTTAATCCACTTGAAGGTAATTGCTCTATCGTCTTTCAAGTTTGATTGGAGAATGATTGCTTTTCTAGTTTTTTTCTCCTTGCTGAATAGCACTTAATCCCCAGAGAAACGCCCTTCTAATGTGGAAATATGGGGAATGTTGTTTACTATCATTATCAATAATATCATTATATATGTCATCTCATTCCATGCGAGGAGCCATTGCTTGGTATAATAGTAAACGTCCATACAGGTTTTAGTCTGAGAGACAACCACTTCATGTAAACAATGTCGGAGTTTAGGTCTGTTACCTGCAAACAACTGGTAGTTTAGCTTGGATTTATTTGAGAACTGCTGTATGAATCACATCCTATGTTGGGCTGTAAGATATGCACTTCTACTGCTTGATAATTGATTTTTGTTATTTTAAATTGAAACATTTATGTGGATTTGATTTTTTTTAATTATAGTTATTCAACAAAAATTATAATGTTCTGTATTGTTCCATTTGTATTGGATGCTCCAAAGGGACAACAAAAAATAGCATTCATTTATATTTCCAATATGATCTTGTTTTGCTCATGATTTTAAATCTGATGTTTGAATACAGAGGCTGTTCCCAAGAAAATTCTTGAGTTGATGAATGTTCCTAGGCTAACTAGAGAAAATGTTGCTAGCCACCTTCAGGTATGGTGCTGTTTTCTCAAGGAAGAACATTTTGTAGGGAAAACCTTAATTTATTACGGGTTCATTCATCTATTACACATTTTTTTTCCTTTGTGGGTTGTATGTGATGTTAACTGTCACGTACGGACACCTTACACCCAAACCCCGCACCAGGGAAGGAAAAAAAAAAAATTAAAAATAAAAAAATAAAACTGGGGGTGGGGGGAGGGGAAGCTCTTCTTCTAGCAGGTCTCACCACTACAGCTATTTGGTGCAGAAATATCGCCTCTATCTCAGAAGGCTAACCGGGGTATCACAGCATCAGAGTGGACTCATTAACTCTTTCATGGGAGCCCCAGAAGTAGCGTTTGGGTCCACTTCTTCACTTAATGGGCTTGATCTTCAAGCTCTAGCTGCCACCGGTCAACTCCCAGCACAAAGTCTTGCCACTCTCCAGGCAGCACTTGGTAGGTCCAGCACTAAATCTGGCATATCCATGCCCCTTATTGAACAAAGAAACCTTTTTAGCTTTGAAAATCCAAAGTTAAGATTTGGAGAGGGGCAACAACAACTGGGCAATAGTAGTAAGCAAATGAACTTACTTCATGGAATCCCAACCACCATGGAGCCAAAACAGCTTGCCAGCTTGCACCAATCTGCACAGTCCTTCAGGGGCATGAATATGCAAGTCAACGCCCAGGGAAGCCAGAGTAGTTCTTTACAGGTGCATATGTCTCAACCTCAGTCAGGGGCACAGAGAGCGAGTGAAACTAATGGCGGTCAAATTTCAAGGCTCCAGTCATCAATAATACATCCTATTTTGTCAAATGGAATTGCCACTGGGGTTCTGGCAAGAAATGGAACAGTTGACAATGTAAGAGGGGCGATGTACAGTTCGGTTTCCCAAGCCTCTTCAGTGGTAGATTTCTCGGTGGACCAAAACACTGATTTGCCAGGGAATAGTTTTCTTCTTGGGAATAATTCAGGGATGTCCATTCTCACATCTAAAGGAGTGCTCCAAGAGGAGGTTAACTCAGAAATGAAAGGATCGGGAGGACTTGTTCCAAATTATGATGCATTTAGTGAGCTGCATCAGCATAAAATCCAAGATTGGGTGTTACAGAATGTTGGTTTGACCTTTGATGCGTCCCAACATGTGAACATACAAGGAAGCCTGGATATCCACCCATCAGTTTTGGTACACCAAAGCTTTTCTTCCGGTCAAAAAAGTGATCAGAGCGGGAATGCATCTATTGGCAAGGGAATGCTCTCAGCAGGAGAAGAAAGTGGACAGTGGAATGCTGCACTAAATATGGGGCAGCCACTTAACCCACGTCTTGGTAACAGTTCACTAAGGGTTAAGGCTGAAAATTTTACTGATATGAGCCGTCAGAGTATCCTATTGTCTGAACAGTTCGGTCAGGAAGACCTTATGAGTGCACTTCTCAGGCAGGTTAGTTTTCTAGCTCTGAGTCCTTGTTCGGTTTGGTTTTTTTCGATTGTATTTAAATTATGAGTTCAGGGGATAAATAGGGCATTAATTTACTCATTGCAAAGTTTCTTTTTCCTCTTACCTAACAGCAAGAAGGCATTGGACCGGTAGCAAATGAGTTTGGATTTGATGGGTATACCTTAGATACTCTTCCTGCGTAGTAGAATAAGCTCCATGATTCATGCTCCATCCTCATTTTGATTGCAGTTTCTGGTGTGTATAGTTTGCTATTAGAGCTGAACTCAACTCATCCTTCTGCAATCAAAGGGTAAAGATTCGGTTTCATGTTTACTTTATGATATACAGGATCTCGATTTCATTTTTCTGCATCTTCCGGCTGTGATTAGCTTGTTGTGCTTGTTCTTGTTCGAGTTTTTAAAGACGGAACGGGAATCCAGAATCATTTGAATTGGAAGTTGATGCAGGAACATGTAACATATGACTCCATGATGTGGCAAGGCATACATGCGAAGTTTTGACTGATTTTGGTAGGTGAATTTTAGGTGCCGCTTGCGAAGCTGTATTGATGGTGGGCTTTAGGTCTTTCGAACTCTAATAACACGAATTATTGTTCTTTTAGGAGTTCGACTGTGATGTACATACAGACTTCATTTGATTCTTCAAGACACAAGTCTTGCTAGGCTATTTAAGGCTTTTTCCTTGTACTTTGAATAATTTAAGTTGTTATTTGTGATTTATTAGCTTTGTTGACAACCACCTCTTTTACAAGTTGTAATGTACTCCTTTTTGTTTTTATGCTGCACTATACATTTATATGACCTGTAAATTTAAAGCCAATTTGAATGCAATATAGTGCGAAGATGATGCATTCCCACAAGCTCCTTGTTTTTTTTTTGTGAGAAACTCATGAATTCATTTATTCCTTAAATGACCACTTTGGAAGGTAGAGGAAATATTATTGGACTAATGTTCTTGAATTTTTTGTGGTAATTGAAAAAGGTAAATTATACCGACTTTCATGAGGTTTGGACAAATTATACATGGGTACAGTGTTTATTACTTTGATATCTCTTAAACCCATTTGCCGGATGGTAATTTTGAGTATGAAAAGTCAGTAATGCTTTGATTTTCATACAAGGAAATGTCATGACTTTTATATAAGGAAAGAGTAAAATTGTCATTTTATAAAATTTAGTTGGCATGAAAGAAAATGTTAGTCAATGTCAAGCACGCACATCAAATCTGAAAAATAGTCAAAGTAGTAATAAAAATTCTACCAAATGTTATTTGTCCAAACGGTTACTATAATTTATCCATTAAAATAATGTTAGGGCGAGTTGGGTTTGCAAACTTAGACAGAAGCCCTTGGTGGGCCTAAAAAGCAAGGCCCTTAAGCAAAAGGACTGAAGATGTGTTAGCCCCCTACATTTTATAGATGGTTGTTCAAAGCTGTGGAAGTTAATTCATTTGAATTTTGAGGGAAAAAAATAAAAAATTATCAATTAGGAAGGGTTTGGCCACTTGCCGCAGAAGACTCATAAAATATTAATTAGAAATAGGTGAAATTAGAGAAAAATAACTCATGAAATTAAAAAAAAAAAAAATTCTAATTCCATCAATTCCAATTCCAATTCCAATTCCAATTACAAGTCTCCAATTTTATACAGCCAAACACAATCTAAGTGAAGACCATCCATGACCTCTTCAAATGTGTGTATCAAGCAAAGTACTGTGACAGAAATGTCATTTTAAGTAGTCATGAAAAAAAGTGAACTGCAATGAGCCAATTGCATTATGGCACCCTCTACTCATTCATTATTCATTTTGACACTCTTTGTATCAGGTGAAAAATAAATAAATAAATAAATAAATAAATAAGAAGAAGGACCTTGTGCTGTCATAATAGATGGCTTGGAGGTGTCAACAATTATTCTGCCGCAGTACCTTTGCAATTTTGGAAAATGGCGTGGTCAGCCTCATCAGCTCCTCTCACATTCTGTATCCAAGTTTCGAACGAAATCGCAATACCCTCTTTGCACTCCATGATAAACTACAATCTAAACATTATAACCAAGGGTATCATAACGGTACTATTTTTTGAGGAAAAAGAAAAAAGGTAGTGTTGGTCCGTTGATAAATCTTGAAATTAAGAGTGTTAAAGATACAATAGAACCAATGTTTACAGTTGCGATATCACTCGCAGTGTAATGAATTCAGATAAATATTGGTATAAATCGATCGGTTCATAAAGATATGTAACGATATCGGATCATTAAAAAAAGATTACGAATCGATAAATGCATACGAATCGGCTGATACAGCGAACTAACAAGCAGAACCAATCCTTTTGGACTCCCAAAGATGTTGATTAACCTGTTCTTTTGGGCGCCCAAAGATGTTGCTTAAAATAATGTCAAATTGAGTTTATTTTGAATTTTCCCTCTTAACAACTTGAGTTGGTAGGACTAGTACCAAGTTATAGACTTTCTTTAACTTCAGATTAGCATAATTACTCAAATCATGCTTGCTTTCCTTCACAAAAATCGTAATCATAAACATTAAGTTGACTCTTTGAGTTTGGGCAATCAAAAGGAAAAGAGAAATTTTGGGTGAAGTATAAGATTTTTATTATTATTATTATTATTATTTTCCACGACGGCTGTAATGTGTCTCTTAAAAGTATTTTATAGTCCATAAAAGGTCTTGTAACCTAATGGTATCTTAGAAGTAGATGGTGAGTATTTATCTCCCCATAGGTGCAAAGGGGTGCATAAATTTTTTGCTAATTAATAAGTGGTTGCAAAGAGATTCGATCTCTCAACTTCCTAGAAGTAAAATGTCAGTTAGTCTTGTCATTAGACTTCAACTGGGATCCAGCGGTTGCAATGGACCAAATGGAATTCTCCGTGCAGATTTGTGGAATTATGTGGCTGTTTATTTATCAACTTATTTAGCTACTTTGTGTGTTTTAAAAATATTTTTTTTAATATAAGAAAAGTTCCTTAATATAAGAAAGAGAAATAAATAGAAAAAATGATGATTATGGAATTCAAATCTAGTACAATTTAATAACTTCAATTCTTTTAGGAGACTCTTTTGATTAAAATTTTAAATAATTAAAATTAGGAGCTACATTTTTTTTACTATGAATTTGTGACCTCTTTCTCTTGAATAAGAAATTCCTTACATTAAATGGTCAAATAATTAAAATTAGAAGTTACAATTTTTTTACCATGAATGAATGACATTTTTCTCGTGAATAAGAATCCTAATTTAAATAAGAGAAAACTACACTTAGTAGATTTAGGAGCCTTAAATAACAAATTAGTTTATTTTTAAAGTTAATTTTTTAATTTGGTCGAGTTAGGTAAAATAATTACATATGCTTAAAAACTATAATTTAGATCCAAAATACCTTCCAAACTCTTATTCCCAAAATACTAAAATATCCTTCCTAAATTAAATAATTCTATCATTCATAAAATTTAGAAAAACAAGTTTCTGAGTTGATTTTCAACTTGGCATTTTTGCATATGGTTTATGTTACCAAAATAAATAACACATATATATATATATATAGAATAATAATCTCTTGCTCCCCATAGAGTAAGAAAATTCTTCCGCACTTTTTATAATGCCCATTAGATTAAATCTAATGGTCGCATCCCAAACCCACCTATATGCTTTCTTTTAATACAAAACCACTATCATTATTTCTAGTTTCCAAATTTAATATTTGCCAATACAATTAATTATAACAATAAAAGGTAAGTACTAAAAAAATAATAATAGCAGAATTAAAGAAAATATTAAGAATAACAACTAATTTTCAAAGGAAATCTAAAATTTTATAGAATAATAGCATATTTTGTTGTAAATCTCCTCATTACACCAATAAATTTTTGCTATTATAATAGAACTAGAAAAAATATATTGTGCGATTTATTACGATAGATGAGTAATTGGAATGTGTTTATAATTAATTAGAATTTGTGACAAAGAGTTAAGAAAAATAGATTGAAGTTCTAATTTTAAATAGCATACATTTAGGGAGGTATACAATAGTTTAAATTGTAATCTATTAATTTTTTTATGAGTGAAGTGTAGTGCAAATCACATATTACATTAAGTTGATCAAGTAGATTTTATTTTTAATTTATTATTATTTTTTAGTTGATACTTTATTGTTTTGTATGTCAATAGTGTAATTTTTTATTTCTTTTATACACTCAATGTCAACTTTAGTATCAAGTTATGGATGCAATTTTCTAACACTTATAAAATTCATTGAAATTGGAATTTTTTTTTTCTATAAATAAATTTTATCAAGTCATGGATGCAAAAAACTTTAACTATATATTGGTTCAAACCTGCAAATGTCAATTTAGAAATATATAAATAATTTAGTGGAAATTCATTGTGTATGTGTGTGTGTGTGTGTATTTATATATATAATTTTATCCAGCAAATGTGAAAACTTTCCTACAAATATATATATATATAAATACACACATACAGTAGACACGAACAAGAGAGGGAAATCATGAAAAAAAAATAAATGGTTGCTTCAGTAAATGGTACATCAGCAATCTTTTTTTTATTTATTTATAAAACAAATATAATTAATTGAGCCAAAAAATTGATGATCATCCCAATGGATGCACGACTAACCTTTGATTGCCCATTTTTTACTATATTAAATCTTTTTTATTATTTGTATAAGTTGCAGCAATATTTTTTTAATTTTTTTGGATAACCCCGGATATCCGAGGCTTCGCCCCAACTAATCCCCGAAGAACTAGGAAGGGCGTCTTCCCACCCCAGGCAGGGTAAGTCGCTGAGTATGGCAGCGGAGGCGTGGCCCCAAGTTGTCATAAGCTCCTAGTGGGGATCGAATCTCAGATGTTAGTGCTAGCAAGCACCCAAGCCCAGATGATTTTACCACTAGGCCAACCCCTTGGGGTTAAGTTGCAGCAATATGGTTCAAAGTTAAACAAAAAAAATTATTTAAAAAAAATATTTGATTTTAAGAGAATAATTTTTAGCATTTTAGAATAAGTGTTTGGAGGGTATCTTGGATTTAAACCATAGTTATTGATACATATGTGATTATTTTACTTAATTCAACTTAAGTGAAAAATAAACTTTAAAATATACTATTTTGTTATTTAATGTTCCTAACTCTACGTAAGTGTAGTTTTTCCTTTAAATAATTCACTTAAACCTTTTTATACTTGTATTTTGATTTGGTATTTTCTGATTAAAGTTAAATTTGAAAGAGATACCCAATAGTAATTGACACATATATAAAGTGTAGAAGAAGATATATATATATATATATATATATATATATTAGTAGAGAAAAGCAAATTAAAGATAGAGAGAGAAACATAGTGTAATTGTTTGTTCTTTCCTTTTCCTTCAATTGACAATTTGTTTAGTTTGTTAAAATAGGAAACACCAATACATAAAAGAATAAAGTATAATATGTATTAAAATATAGGATATTAATGTTTTTTTAATTATCGTCACATCAGATTCAAGATCAAATCTCAAATTTTAATTTGAAATATATAGCACTACTCTTTTTTAATACCATATTTTGAGTTTGTTCAATTTTATTTGCAATATTTGTAAATTCTTTCTTCTTTTTTTTTTTCTTTTTTTGGTAATAAAACTAATCATGAGAATAATTCAAATACCACCAATGGTAATTGTTTGGTGACTATTGTGAGATATAAATTTGTAATGCTGGCGAGTTTTGAAGTCAAAACTTAATTATGGAGTTGTATT